CATCCAGTTTGCAGTTTATTCTTCCTAGACTGTCAGGAAAGGACTGATAGAAATAGAGAGACTTTAGTCTAACTTGTCTTGTTGAATTTTAAGATATTTACTTATTTATTTAGGTTCTTTGCAATAGGGTTTCATGTAACTCAGTCTGACCTTGAACTCTCCCTGTAGCTAAGCCCTGAACTCTTGGTTTTCCTGCCTCCGCCTCCCGTGATGGCAGAGCTTGCATCACGAGCCCCTCACTGGAAGCCTCTCACTAGACCCTGCTGTCTCATTGAACGCTTACGCTTGTTTTCAGTTGTAAGCTTTTGTATTAACATGGCATCTCAAGTCTTCACCCGTGACAATGCTGTATTTGGGTTGAGTGTTCTTAAGATATTTTCGTGGGGAAGCCGTGGTCATCCTCGGCTGTCCTATTTTATATATCACTGAATTTTAAAGGAAATTTCATTACATAAAGAGCAAAACATTTTTCTCAAATATAATGGAGAATCAAGAGAAATATTTAACTAAAATTCCCTTTAAGGAGTGCTTTAAAGCAAATATAGTAACATGCACATGCATTCTGAAATACCAAGAATCCAGTTTCCTACTAGGATATATTAGTGCTTCTAACAAAGCCTTTTACCAACTAAATATAACTGGGTCATATGCAAATTAGTAATATTTCAGAAGAGGTTATTTTCATCTACCAATTTTCTGTTTCCTCTTATTGTTATTAAGTTGTTAAACTATGTTAAATTTAGAAAAACAAAAGCATTACTTTCTCTTTGGTTCTTGTGTCTGGATTTTTCCTTCCATTGAAAAGACATTGATTGAGTACATCCTCCAGGACTGGCACCGTTGGGTGCTGGGACACAGAGACCACTCAGGGTGACTGTGCCATCCTGGGACAGGCTGACTGAATAAAATATTACAGCTGCTCATCAGGCTCCAGTCTTTGGTCGAGGAGGCCATAATAAGGCAAGGGATAGACAGAAGGGCCAGGGCAGGCTTTGAAGAGGAAGTGGTACCTGAGTTGAGTTTCCAAAGATAGCACAGTAGAAAGCTGGAACCCCAGGACTCAAGAGACAAGGCAGGAATTCCAGGCCAACCTCAACTACAGAGTCACACATTGTCTTAAAACCCTAAAAAGTAAAAGATGTGACAACTAGAAAAAGTGTGATTTCTGGTGGAAAACAAAATAAATTTCCCTTTCTCACCCTCTACTCTCTCTCTCTCTCTACACACACACACACACACACACACACACACACACACACACACACACACACACATATATATATATATATATAAAATCTGTATTTACCTTTTAAAGCAAGATGTTACTGGGTACTATATTTTCATTCACAAGCCTTGCTGAGTTACAAGACCTCGAGGAGCTTAGGGTGGACTTCTTATTAAGTTGTTTCAGCTTGAGTTCTTACCTATAAGATTAGTCCTTAACTAAGATAAGTTAGTACATGCAGAATTAACTACAGGGAAGAAAAATTTTCAGAAGTAAACTCTAGAAGTTGACACTTAAGGCGTCTTAACAGCTTTTTTCCCTTTTATATGTGAAGCTCTATCTCAGGACACTTCAGTGACAGGTGATTTGGTCTACTAAGGAATCCAGCTCGACAGCTTAAACAGTTCAGATTGCTTACCTTATGTCGTTCAACAAATGTTCTCCCAGCCTGCTGAAACAAGTCTGCAGCACCACAGTCTAAGAAGCAGAAAGCAATTTTATCTTCCCCTTAGTTTTCATGCCGCACAGATACTTTAAATCTTGCCCAACTCCTTGAAACCGTGTTATCAGGAGGAATAAAGGAAGCGTTGAGCACGTGGTTCTGGTGAAACTTCCTTAGTCTGCTCCTTCTGCGGGCCATGTGCCACTTTCTCCTTCGAGGGGTGGCATTTCTCCAGCTAGAGCAGCAGTGGTATCATCCGAAGTGGGATCCTCCTCATCAGTTCCTAGACCACACTTGATCACCCCGTGGATCCTGTTACCATGTGTCTAGGGATCTTCCAGACTGAAGCCAGAAGACCGGGTGCAGCTGTACACAGGATGACCTGATCCTTCACACACTTGTCGTTCTTGTCAGTCTCTACCTTTTGCCTGCAAGTTTCAGTACTGGAGTGGTCAGGGTTTATCTCCGGGTGTTTCTCTGCTGCCATGTAACCTGTCATTGAGTTGTCTCTGAGGGCCTGGGCTCACACGACCCCCTCCACGTTTGCTGTCCACCCATATGTTCTGTGGCGATTCCGTGGGGGTTTCACCAATTGCTTTGACTCTTCAACCTTTCCCTTTAAGATGTCTTTTATAATTGTGTAGAAGTTTTCAAACATTGTCTTTCTCTTGCTGTCTTCCTTTTCTCCTCTTCATCTTCTGGAAGTCCCAGTCCTTCTTTGGTAACGGACACTCCAGTCTCGCCCTCAGGTCCTTCAGCTGTGAGGTCCTTCACCGTGTCAGCCATGGGCTCAGTTGTACGGACCACTTCTCAGTCGTGCTGTCAGAGATGTTTCCAGTTAGCTACTTGGTCGTCAGTCTCAGCTGGGGTAAAATGGATGTGCTTCTGGTTTTCCTTCACTCTGGGGCCATACTCCCTGAGAGAAACCCCCTCATCCCCAGAAGCAGGTGTGCAGCAGCACAGCCACTCTGGAAGCGTCTTCCAATTTTGAGAGGCTCCATGAATTCCGAGCTTTATATTTTTGAGAAGCATTCATAAAACTTTCTGTAGCTCTCTGCATCTTCTTCCGGGTCAGTGGGCGGCTCACGCATTTTTTGACCAAATTTTTTCTAATAACTTTCAAGTTTCTGCTTTGTTGCGACATTTCGTGGAAAATACTTAGAGGGAGAGCCTTGGACTCCGCCACCCCTCTAGTGAACTTCAGATACTCAGAGATTAACTCCTCACAGTTACCCATGCTGGAAACCAGTGTATGTACAACTTGATGCTCTTTTTCTTTTTCTTTTCTTTCTCTTTTGTTTCCAAACAGATCAAAAGGAGCAAATCTTAGGACAAAAAGAAGGGCTCAGAATTCCAATTGTCCTTCATAAAAAACTGCTTTACTGCCAGTGCCCTTCCCAATCATTGCTTATGCTCTTGCGGACCCTCCGCAGTCTTCATTAGCAATGTTATCAGGATCTCTGGGCCAAGTGTCTCTGTTCTGTTTAATTCTTCCTGACCCATGCGCTCCCTTAACCTCCTTCTTGTCACCACCTTCTCGTTGTCACTGGAACCAACACCTTCTTTTTCAGGCTTGTCATCAGACTCCTGTTCTTCTTTATCTTTCTCCTCCTCTTTATCTCCTTTTTCTTCAGCCTCATCATCACGGGCTTCCTTATCTTGTCTCCTTCCCCACAGAGAGAGTGATGGAATAGCCAATAAGCTAAGAATGTTTCTTCCCAACTTCCTTTATTCTCATTTCCTCCGAATACTCAGCTCGGCCTTCTTTCACTCAGCCATAGGATACCCTTTGGTTCACTGAGTTGGTCCTTACTGGGAAGATGCCCCTGCTGAGGACTCAGGCACACTGCTCACCATCACTTTTGGTGACCACAGTCACTTTTCTGCAACCAAATACCCAGAGTGGAAAGCGACACCAAACTGGCCAGTTGCAGAGATAACTGCACCAGTCTGCAAGGTCTCCATGAAGCCTTTGCCAGTCTGGGCAGTTCAGGCTATTGATCAAGTCAGTCTTGGCCATTCTAATTTTAGTGTTGGTTTGATCTTGTTTGTTGGTAAAGAGATTAATGTGCAGCTCCTTCCCTGCGTAGTTTACTAGGATCTGTCAGACTCTCATCTCTGATCTTACCCAGAGGGTCTAATGAATTTGAAATGAGCTCCCTCAGAAAGATTTCTTCATTCAAATAGAAACTATTGATGATCAAGGATGTTACCTGGAAATTTTTTGCCTTAAAGGCAAAAGTCCTAACTTCTTCCTCCTCCATTGATTGGTCTTGGGTCTGAATTTCCTCAGGCGTCTTTGCTGAGTGACCACACACAAACCGAGACTAGCCGCACCAAGACACTAAAGTGACTCGTATAAGTTTCTTGAACTTTCTACTCCTGGGTAAATATCAGAAGTTTTCTACAACCTCTAGAGGTGCTGAGAGCCTACATGTGTGCACTCTGAAGGATCATACAGTGTACTTTAGGATGTGTTTAATTGTCTGGCAGTGACCTCCACAGACTCTGCATCCTCCTCCCTGGTGGAAGTGCCAGGGAGTATGCACACCCCTCTCACTGTGTTGTGATTCTAATTGCAAGAACTCAATCTCTTAAGAAACATTTTTTCTGTCCATGTCTAGCTTAGGATGAAACTCTCTGAGAACAGTCTCTCATACTGAGGATTGGGATCCAGTCCATCTAGAAATTCAGTCCAGATGTGTGGTTTCAGGCAGTGATTCCAACCCAGGTGCACCTGAGGTTTTGGTTTCTTACACTGCATCAGCCTCTTCTGTTCCAGGCTTTCCTGGTGCTTTGATGTATTTGTGGCTATTTAGTGACAAGATGGACAGAAAGTTTACAGTGTAGTAACCGTCAAAACAACTCTGTAAAAGAATGTGTTGTCTTCTGCATAGACAAAAGATTCAATAAAATGATGCTGCCCCTGAAGAGCTTCTGAACGTGCCTCCTGGGAAGAGACAACCTTCATTCCAGGAGAGATGAAGGGTTCCATAAGGATAGAATGATGTATATTTCATCTAGTTTATCATGTAAAAGATGAAGGCTTGAAGGTACTGAAAATATAGTAGCTCAGAGACAGATGAGTGGGTGAAGGGAGAAAGATTTAAAGGGAAGTTATTGGAAATCTGTGCCTTGTGTTTCAGTGCCGCTGAGAGAGGGAGAAGCAGCCACCAAATGACTAAGGCATCAGTTATAGCTCAGGGGTACTTGAAATAGAACACACCAGCCTTGTAGGAAAGCAGAAGACCAAATAAGAAAGATCCTGTTTATTAAAGTGGATTTTAAATGGAACTTTTCAGTTTTAATTTGGGGCTACTTGCTATTTTACAGATGCCATGTCTATTCCCTCAGAAAAAAGACCATCAATGCAGACAAATATGAGTTTAGTCAAGACACTGGAGGAAACCATCACAAATACTACCACAGGAAGTCCCCCACAAACTCCTCAGGAAAAGCAGCCGGCTGTAGAAAGCTTTGACACACTGGCACCTTCCCAGGCATTTAGGCCGTCTGGTAAAGACGAGTTTGTCAGCCTGGGTCTGAGGATGTTCAAGTCAGAGTCCATGTTCCACAACCAGTCCTCTGTGGAGACACTCTACGTCTCACCCTCATTCAAAACTGTCAGCCCAGAGAAGGAGACCAGAGCCAGTGAGGACGTCCAGACCCCTGTGCAGTCCAGAATCTGCTGGATGGAAGAAGATGTGAGCCTCAAGCCCTTAGCCATGCGGGGTGAGTGTGCCCCCAAACAAGCCAATAATGCTAGTGAAAATGCTCTGCCAAGGCCTTCTGTGACCTCTCTGCCTTCTGTCCTTTCCTTGTCTCTTCTGCACACTCCTCGTCAATTCTATCAGGATGTACCCGCCACTGAAGGTCTTCTTGGGTGGTCATGTGTCCTTTTTATTAAATGAGTAGCAGACACTTCGAGCAAGTACTTGATCGAATATATTAGCATCAATTCTGAATAATTGTTATGTAAACCAAATTAGATGTTACTGACATTCACTGAAGTTTCCAGTTAAACATGTAGGTAACTCATGAAGAGACTGTGTGCAAGAGAAGTGGTTTTGTGTGCGGACACATATACGTACACAGCTGTGTGTGCATTCTCTAAGGCTCTATCATACATGCACCAAAGGGTCAAGGAACCATGTCTTTTCTCTGTCTATAAAACACCACAGGGCTGGGCACAGCAGGATGAACCCTTTATGCTTTATCGCAGGAACCGAGGAAGAGGATTGAGTGCAAGGTGAGCAGGGTTGTGTAATGGGTCCCTATGTAAAATAAAACAGGATGAAATGGGCTACGGTTTTATTTAGACTGTGGATAGAGAATCAAGTCCGGCTATTGACTGTCACCTATTAAATCTTGCATTATGCAATTAGACTTTCCTTTTCAAAGTTAATTAGTAAAAGAATAGTTTGTTTGCACACGAATTTTTAAAAAACTAAGTGGTGGCTTTGTTGGTGCTTCTGGATAATAATGCTCACCAACTTGTGTAAGTTCAAAGATTTCAACATAAATCTTTTAAACTGCTTCAAATGCAAATCAAAAATGCATATAAACAAAAGTAATGGAAGCCAGCATGTGAAAATATATATCAATAAGAACAATGGGACAGTGCAGGGGGGTGGGTAAATGAACTGACCTTGGTCTCCGGCAGTGAATAGTAAGAGATCCTCTTTTAAAAAGAGGTTTCAAAGATTTCTGTTTAAAACATTTTGGTATTAAATAGCCTAAAGGTAGTAAAACTGAATCTTAGGGCTGCCAAGGTGACTCAGCAGGTAAAGACACTTTCTACCAAACTTGATGGCCTGAATTCAATCCCCAGGACCCACACACTGGAAGGAGAGCATCTACTACATGCTTTCTTTTGACTTTCATGCACATTATGACACAAGTATGCATGCACACACACGGACAGACGGACGGACGGACAGATGGGTGGGTGGATGGATGGATGGACGGACGGACAGATGGTTGGATAATACATAAATAAATGTACTTTTTAAAATGAATCTTCGTCTTGTCCTCAAATTAACTTTCTTGCTGAGACTACCTGCCAAGGAAGACACCTCCTGCTGGGCTGCAGTGGCCTCTAGGTATGGCTATGCTCTGGGAAGCTGCTATGGTTGTAATGACATTGATGACCATCTAACACCATAACACCACCTCTTTTTACCAATCTAGAAGCAGTGGGACCTGGAGAACAGAGCTGACGAGTAAAGTGGACTCAAGCCTCATGCAGTAGCTGCTTTAGTTAGAGCACAGGCAGTTTATATTCTGAGGGCTAAAGAGAATCACACGAGTAAAGTGTGCAATCACAAGAACAAGCTGCATGTGGCCAAAACATGTTTTCCTATAGAGACATTTACTTGAATAACAACAGCAAGCAATAACAAGTAATCCTAAGTAAACTACCCGCTACACCTGGGAGGGGCACGAGAAAGCATTCCAGGAACAATTCTGTGTTTTGAAGAAACTGGGGTCATAAGGCTCTTGTCTTGTTTTCTTGGTGTTTTCTCACAAGCACTCAGAAGTCTCATACGACTCCATTCTTGGACCATTTTATGACGTACCTCCCATAATATTAAAGCTGAAAAACTACTGGAAGCTGGTTTAAGTTACCAGAAGACCACCAAGGGAGAAACACAATGGATCCGGACCCCAGGGAGAAGAGTATTTTGACAAGTCCCAGTTGACCTCAGTCATCCCCTCCTTGGGTCAGAAGTGGCTTCCCAGTCTTGCTGGGCTTTGGAGGTTGAGTTTGGGGTTCCAGTGAGAGGCTGAGGAGCCCCAGGGAAGCAGTTCTTTGTGTCTGCAGCTGCATGCTGGAAAGCTGAATGTTCTCAGAGAGAAAGAAACTAAAGCAGGGAGCTTCTGAGACACCAGCGCGCTAAGCAGAGCCTCTGATACCCGTCTGATGTCAGGAAAGAGACAGCATTCCATGAAGATGCTCCTCTTATTCAGCTGGGCCAGGGGACCTGACAGATTCTGCCATTCCGCCACACTCTGGGAAGGGCATGCCAGAAACAGCAGCGTCCTTATATGCAGAACATCCATGTAGAGTCTAGACAGAGTGCCTGCCTCGGGCTCCATTCGGCACCCAGAAAACAGACCTTTTGTGAAAGCTGCTATGATTTCTCACAAAAAAACTTATGCATTTAACCAAAAATTTCTAGGTGTAAGACAGAATGATCAAGTACACAGAAATCCCGCAGGAGCAGAGTCACAGATGTCTAGAATCTAAAGTCATCAGGCATATAAGGCAGGGATTTTCGAATAGAAGATAGACTTTTGTTACACTGCCACCCTCTGTGTTGTGAAAAAGTCAAGTGGGCATTTTAAAGCTCAAAAAATACCGTCCTGAAATGAAGCCCCCCGGCTACTCTGATCCACACGGCCTAGCAGGCATTCCCAGCCTTTGCTGTGGTCGAGCGACACTGTCTACAAAGTGTACACATAATAACCAAGGTCGAGCCACCAAAACCAAGACCAAACAAACAAAACCCTCAAAAACTCTCATGTTAAGTTTATGGTTTGTGTTGGGCAGGATTCATAGATGTTATTAACTGTGCGTGGTCACATGCAGCTTAGATCACATGTCTAATATCTCAAGTTGAGCAATAAAGGACAGTTCAGTGTACAGAGACACGGGTGGGGGTGGGGGGAAGAGGTAATGACGGAAGTCTTGAGGGAGACCGAGAAGGGTGAACACTATACATTGTGTATAAATTCTACCCAAATCCTTGACTGATCACTAACTAAACTTGTAGGGAGACCCCCTAATCCCTGCTGGAAACCAAACAACAACAAAAAAAGCCTTCAGCTTCTATGCACTGAATGGTCGACAGTTGGAAGAGTCGGGTCAGTTATCTGCCCACAGGAATAAAATCCAGTCTTCAGGGGACTGCCAGGATCAAGGGGCTCCACAAACATATACTACAACATTTGCAGGGGATTGTCACAGAATCAAGGGGCTCTACCAACATGTACTATGATATTTATTAAATGCCCAACATGGAGCTGGAGATATGGCTCAGTGCTTACGAGAATGTAGTGCCCTTGCAGAGGACCCAAGGCCAGTTTTCAGCAACCACATTGGGTACCTCATAGTGGCCTGCAGCTCCAGCTCCCGTGCTCCCTTTGGCCTCACAGATACCTTCACTCACATGCATAAACCCACACAGACACATAATTAAGAAGAAATAAATAAGTTGCCAGACTTTGAAATTAATAAGAAGCCGTGACCCATAGTGAAGACATGGAAGAAGTTGCTAGAAGCTGACCGCTAGATGACAGACATACTGTGGTTAGCACATGAGTTCATGAAGCAGCCATTAAAAATGCATTCAAGAAGTTGGCCTGACATGGTGAACACTTGTGTATGCAGCATTCATGAAGCTAGGGCAAGAGGATGATGAGTTCAAGGCTAGTCTACACTACATAGTGGTTTGAGGCTAGCCTTGGCTACACAGAAGGATACTGCTCAGCAAACAACATAAAAATGTACCCCAGGGCCTCATTATTCACAATGAGTGAACGGAGAGGGCTGTCTCAGAAGACAAGATGATGAAGGAACAAAACGGACACTGCAGGGAGGAAAACGAATGGAAATGACAACTTCCCTGGAGGTATTTAGCAGTGGACTGGAGATGAAGGAAGGATAAGTAAGGGAATCTGAAGATAAATTAACAGAATAAACTAATCTGCAAATATAAAAAACTAGCAATATGTTTTTAAAACTTTAAGTGTCTGTTCTCCAGCTACAGTAGGGCTAGGTTAGAAAATGCTAGTAAACTACTCAGAAGAACCCTAAATTTGGGGCCCTTACTGGTACCCTTCTAGATAATCTATGAGACAAAGAGGAAACCACAAGTTAAATAAGGAAACATTTCCAGCAGTGACTGATTATAAGAAAGACAGTGGGAGGGCGCTGCTCCGCCTGCACCAGCCCCAGGTTCAAGTCCCTGCAGCACCAGGGAAAAGAAGGATGGGACAGCTACGGACGCTATAAACACCAACAGCAAAGCAGGGTAAGAGACTATTGTGTTGTCGTGGGTTTGGCCCTTGGTGGAAGGGTAAGCTAGCAAATGACTGAAACTGACCCGAGATAACCTTTGTGCTCGCCAAATGTCCCATGTTAAAGGTGTATATTATAATATGTGCATTTATACCTATGTTAAGGGCATATGTATATATAATATGGGAGTGCATACATATACAAACATATATACCTGAGTATATTACCAGGACGATCTTACAAACAATGCCTTGGTCCCATGGAGTTTTGCTGGCCTATTGTAAGGAAGGCGAAGCATCAGGCTTCCTCATTCTTTCTGAATACTCCCAGGGCATTACCCCATCATTTCATGAAGGTGGCTAACCTGCCATCCGTGTCTGACATACAGTGCAAGAAAGATAAATTAGAGAGCAACATAGATTAACATCAAATGCAGAAAGTCTTAATAAGATGTTTGCAAATCAAATCCAGCAAGATCAAGAAGTGACAATGTCCCACAACCCAGTGGGATTCTTCCCAGAGCTGTAGTGTGGGCTTGACGTTTGAAAATGAATCTCTGCAATCCACCACATTAATAGAATAAGATTTAAAATGATATAATTATCTTGATTCATGTAGAAAATTGATACAATTCTACATTCAATTATGATTATAAAAAATGTAAGCAAATTAGGAATAAAAAGAAACTTCCCTCAAGCTGATAACAAGC